ATATGGACAGGCTCACCGTGGAACAGCACTGCACTCTGACCGGCGGGGGCTGGCCCTGCAAAGAGTACGCTAGGGCATGTCCTTCAGGGGACTGAACACCTACCACTGAGGCGCTAAGAAAGACCTAAGACCCATCAGTAGATGGCAGAGAGAATTCTCTATACGTTCCATCTTAGCCCCCGAGGCGTAGACCCGACAAAGCAGATTGCCTAAGATCCACAAAGCTCCTGAGGAATCATGAGGGAGTTGATTCCAGGTTCCATTGCAGGCATCTGCCCTGACCATAACTCCTGCATTGAACAATGGCTATCTGATTGGAATAGGCCTGAGTATCAGACTGACAGGTATGGAGTTCCTCGATCCTCTGAGGGCGGGACAGGGAAGGAGGCCGACACAGTCGCACTGCGCCGGAAAAAGGCATAGACGTAACAGCCTGGACCTGCAGGGAGCCACCTGCAACCATTCTGGAGAGGCTCAAATGGCAGTTCCCACCGGCTCCCCTGCACCCGCCGGCTCCCCCGCACCCACCAGAGAGGCATTGAAGTCGGCATCTGAGGACTCCATTCTGTTGCTTGCTCAGTCCCTGGAGCCTAAAGCATGCCTGCAGTTTCCTCACCAGCGGTCACTGGGCTACAGGCAGTGGAGGAGGCCATCATCTGCCTGCTGCAGCGTGCGCTCACCCACCTGGAGACCACCAGGAGCGCAGCGAGAGTCATGTTCTTTGAGTCACCTCTCTCCCTGTGAACCTCCAGGGCAGGACATAGATACTGTGGAGAGTTTGAAATCCCTGGGTGTTCAACTGGACTGGACTCATAACAGCGACGCCCTGTAGAAGAAGGGCCAGAGCCGCCTCCCTCCACCTCCTGAGGAGGCTGAGCTCCTTTGCAGTGAGCAGGCTCCTGCTTCAAACCTTCTCTGACTCTGTGGTGGTCTCAGTCCTCCTCTACGCTGTCGTCTGCTGGGCCCCTGGCAGCGCAGAGCGGGACAGAAAGAGACTGAACAAACTGGCCGTTTCTGTCCTAGGCTGCACTCTGGACTCAGTGGCTGAGAGGAGGGAGCTGTCCAAGCTTCCATCCATCATGGACGCCACCTTCCACCCTCTGCAGCAGACTGGAGAGGAGCTGAGCATCTGCTTTAGTCAAAGACTTTTACAGCCTGTTTGGAAAAAGCAGCAGTGGAACAAGTGGATGCACATGTCTACAGAAGAGCTCCCAACAAACCTGCACCACAAGATGAGACTGAAGCCGGTGGTTAGATAGACTCATTCATCTAATAGAGGACACGTGTTCTCAGTTCTCGACCTGCACACGTTGAAGAGTGATCAGTGCTGGCTGCAGGGGTCAGTGGGGATGATCATCTGTCAGCCTGTTTTTGCTATGAGTTGAGGTTGTTTTTACTCCACAGGGGGTCAGAGGAGATGACTGGAGATATTAATGACTCCATCGACTTTGTCCTCCTGAACTTTGCTGAAATGAACAAACTGTGGGTTCGAATGCAGCATCAAGGTCACAGCAGAGACCGAGAGAAGAGAGAAAAAGAACGACAGGAGCTTAGGATCCTGGTGGGCACCAACCTGGTTCGCCTCAGTCAGCTGGAGGGCGTCAATGTGGACAAATTTAAACAGGTACGCATGTCTTTCATTCTTTATCGCCTTCTGCTAACAGATGATGTGCATCCTGAAAACTTTCACATTCACTTACCTTCCAGCCTTTTTCCAAATGGTATTAAATTCATTTATTTTATAAATTCAACACAGCTTCATGTCAGGGTGGACTTTCTAACCAGGATGACTGGTTATAAAATCAGGGAGATTTCCATGATTTTTAATCCCTGAATCCAAATATTGCAGGAAGACTTTCCTGCGGCTGATTTTTGCTTCCTGTTTCGTGACCTTAAACTTGGAGGTTGGCCCAGTGCACAACTTCCAGACTCATTTATCAGGATTTGATTTATTGGGATGAACTTTGTGGCCATTGTACCTTGGGCACAATTTGGCGGTGTGTACGCTGTGCCCCGCTCAGCCTCCAGTTCCTGTTGGCAGAGTTAAACCAGTATATAACCTGCTTCCTTCCTACGTTTGGAGCAGTGATCAGAGCCCGCAGACTGAAACAATGCTGCCGACCCCCCAGCTGTGTTTCTACCGCTGCTGTTTTCCTCAACCAGGACCAAATTTTTTTGCTGACGCTCCTTTTTTTCATGATGATAAGAAGTGACGATCGTTGATGACTAAAACTTGACGACTCCTGGGTTCATTGTTTTTGTTGAACTAGATCTGCTATTTTCTCTGTGACACTTTTTTATAAAGTACGACATTTATTCATAAAAAGTTAATTTGGATTCTCTAACTCAAAGTTTTCTGTCCAACAGCAATGATGATCTGCACGGCAGCATTCTATAGCCTGCTACTGTAGCATCTAGGATAGAGCTGTCAGTGAGGGAAAGAATCTGGTTGGTGTGTCAAATATAAAGGTTCACTTTTCTTGCAACATAAAACTGACTGAAACCTTTTGGAGGGTTAGTCGACTAAAACCGACTTAAACTATCAGATATGCTAATGACTAGAATGTGACTAAGACTACTGATAGTTTTCATCCTGACGATTAAGACTAAATCTGAGATGGCTGCCAGAAACACCTACCTGACCTGGCTGCTTACATGTCTTTACTTCCTCTTTTACACAAACTGAGCTGAAATGTCAGGTTTTTACCTTTTAGATGCTGGGGATTCCAGATCAGCCCTCTAAGGGTCCCATAAACACCTTTCTACTGTCCTGAGGTCTTGGTTTCTGTCCACAGGTTGTCCTTCCTGGCGTGCTGGAGCAGGTTGTGAATTGTAGAGATTCGTTGGCTCAGGAATACCTCATGGAGTGCATCATCCAGGTACTTTCTCTTACCTTTTCATAGTGTCTAGTCCTACATGTTAGCTTCCCAGGTGTCCTCTTATGGTTTTGTTCCAGTTCTCTGTCCAGCCTGTCGGGGTTTTCAGTGACTGCTGAGGCAACTTTAAGCTGAGCAGTGTTTCACTCAGGCTGGCTTTGGCGGCTGTGAGCGTGTTTTATTACTGTGGTTTGATTGAGTTGAAAAGCCTTCAGGAAAATGTTTTCCCTGCATTGTGATGCTCTGGAAGTTCTGGACGGCTGCTTTGCTCTCCGCTCTGCCTTAATCTGTCTGGTTTTTGTCAGGTTTTCCCCGATGAGTTCCACCTTCAGACGCTGAATCCTTTCCTGCGTTCCTGCGCTGAGCTGCATCAGCACGTCAACGTAAAGAACATCATCATCGCTCTGATTGACAGGTGCGCCTTCCTTTAGCTCACTGCAGGAGGTGCAAACATGTTGGAGTTTCTGCCTTCCCCATCACTGTCCATTGCTAGACTCCAGTTCATAAACAGTTATTTTAATTCTCTTATCAGCTGTCAGCTTATACACCATTAATGCAAACCTGTGCTTATAATCAATATAACAACTGAAAGGGACTCTTCTGAGTTCTGTTGACCTCCTGCTCCCACCAGTTGGACTGTTTACTGGTTTCTGTGGGTGGTTTTCTACCGTACCTTCAACTGCCGAAGGTTTGGTGGTTAGCAGCCGCTGTTATTAGCGTCAAAATAAAAACACGTCCTTCTCAGAATGTTCCGAGCACAGAAGCGATGCAGTGGACAGCTCCAACTTCCCTGATTTCGTCTGACGTGCTCTGCTCTGGATCCATAGCAAACTGAAATAAGCCGCCGCCATCTTTAGGAGGGGGAAACAAAAAGCTGCAACACGTGATGAAGGCAGAGCTGTACCTGGCCCAGGTGTTCCAGCTATCAGTCCGTCTCCTGGTTTCTGCAGCAGTCAGCTTTTTGATAAATACTATTTTATCTGGGTGGGCCTGCTTGAAAATATTACAATGATCATCAGTAATAACACTTTGGTCTACTTAATATACTAGAAAATGTTCATATAGAGTCGGCATGTTCTCCTGAGCATGCGTGGGTTCCCCCCGGGTACCCCGGCTTCCTCCCACAGGCCCAAAAACATGACTGTTAGGTTCACTGGCTTCTCTAAATCCTCCTTAGATGTGAGTGTGAATGGATGTTTGTCTTTGTGTTGCTCTGAGATGGACTGGAGACCAGCTGGAGACGGGCACCAGCACCCTCACCATCCCCGCAGGGATAAACATGACGGAAAACGGATGGATGTTAATATGCTTTCATCAACACAAGGGCACCGAGCTCCAACATCTAGAAACAAAGGTGTTGATGGCAGCAGCACAGCTGATATTTATCTCCAGGATGGAGTCACAGCCAAACAGGAACAGACCAGATGAAGCTACTATGAGAAAAAGCAGAGAGAGCAGAACGTTAGAGATTGAACTAATAGATTCTGCAGAGTGGGAGAATAGAGATAGAATGAAGCAGAATTATAAAAAAGGGGTCCCTATGTCCTCCAGCAGTCTAAGCCTATAGCAGCAGAACTATAGAGATAGAATGAAGCAAAATGATGAAGAAGGAGTCCCTATGTCCTTCAGCAGTCCAAAGGCCTGGTTATACTCCCCGCAGCAGTGTGTCACAGTGAGCTTGATGCAGACATTTTTGATTTATGCCCAATACGCTGAGGGTCTAGATACAGCTGAGGCGATGAGGAAGTGGGGGCGAGTTTAGTGCGAAACCAGGAGGGACATGAGGATGAAAAATGACGGGGATCCAGGTGGAAAAGGGTCCCATTGTTCTGGCGCTCCTCGATCTTCTAGCTGGTCAACTTCATGAGTCATAAAAACAAAACAAGCTGGCCTCCTGTCTGCGCTCACCTACAGTTTTGTGGAGGTGCAGCAGAGTGTCTGCGGAGGGGGCGGGGTCGGCTTTTTGTTCACACCTACACAGACGACCTAGTTTCAAAGTATAAATCAGCCTTAAGCTTATAGCAGAATTCTAGAACTATAGAGCTAGCTCAGGATAACCTACTCACCTCTTTCATCTGTCCTCCTCTGCAGACTTGCTCTGTTTGCTCATAGAGAAGATGGTCCAGGCATCCCGGCTGAGATCAAATTATTTGACATTTTCTCTCAACAAGTTGCCACCGTCATTCAGGTAAACTTGTGTTTGACTTGTTGTGGTCATTGATTCACAGCCTAGCATTGATCCTCTGTTTCAGTCCCGCCAGGACATGCCATCAGAGGACATCGTGTCTCTACAAGTGTCTCTCATTAATCTGGCCATGAAGTGCTACCCTGAGCGAGTCGACTACGTGGACAAAGTTCTGGAAAGCACAGTGGAAATATTTAACAAGCTCAATTTGGAACAGTACGTATCACTAACCCTCCGTCTGAACGGTGCAGATCAGACAGATGTAGAGTTTGCTATCTAGACCCTTTGTTTCCGCAGCATAGCGACCAGTAGTGCCGTGTCCAAAGAACTGACCCGTCTCCTGAAGATCCCAGTGGACACCTACAACAACGTGCTGATGGTGCTGCAGCTCAAGCACTTCCCGCCACTCTTCGAGTACTTTGACTTTGAGTCCCGTAAGAGCATGAGTTGTTACGTCCTGAGCAACACGCTGGAGTCCAACACCATCATCGTTTCACAGGAACAGGTGGGAACCAGTCGGTCCAGTCAGTCTGCAGCTCAGTCAGAGGGGGCGTCATCAGCTGATCTATGCAGACCTCCTTAACCTGTCTTTAAATTCATCTTTTCAGCTCATTATTCATCCCTTACTTTCAACATCATCTTTAAACATTTCCATGAGAAGAGTGCGTTTCCTTTAATGTGGATTAAGGCTGAACGATTTTGCCAAAATCAAAATTGCGATTATTTTTAACCAAAATACAAAATTTATTTAGATTTTCTTTGTCCTAACTTCAAACTTGTCATTTTTATTACTTCTGGCTGTGAGTTTTTAAAGCTGGCTTTAATGCTAGCAGCAATAATGTCTATCGTTCTGTGTGTTTTACCACCAACTGAAGGGCTGGAGGGAGAACTTTAGGGTTTTACTCTGGTTAAATAATGGAATTAAAACTGGCTGCCTTTGCGATTTGAAAATGATATTTTGTGAAATTGTAATTATATTGCGATGAATTGCTCAGCCCTAATTTGGATGTTGGGTTAGCACCCTTAGCACTTCACTACGGCCCGTTTCCCCGTCTCGGTCTCTCTGGTGCTTCAAAGATGACGGGACTGAATACGCAGCCCTGTGGCACACCTCAGGTCAGGCGCATGATGGACCTCTGGATTGGGTTAGGGTTGGTGAGGGAGGACCTGTTGGTTAATCTTGATGATGCAGTCGGTAAATGCCACAGAGAGCTACAGCCCTCAGGGGACTGTCTGATGATAATGAGTGAGAGTCGTTATTTGGACGGCTGAAAAAGATCAGAATGATTGAACATCATCATTTTTTAGCAGAACTTGTTAGATCTTTGTAACTTTGTAAGATGTTTTAACTTCAAAAGTGTAGAATCTGTTCGATCCAGAAGGCGTGATGGAGGAACAGCATGAAAGGTGTCGTTTCTGATGGTCATTTCCTTATATGAACGGGGAACTACTGGTCTTTCCAGGTGGACGCCATCTTAAGCTTGGTCTCCACACTGATCCAAGACCAGCCGGACCAGCCAGCGGACGATCCTGACCCGGAGGACTTTGCCGAGGAGCAGAGCCTGGTTGGTCGCTTCATCCACCTGTTCCACTCTGAGGATCCTGACCAGCAGTACCTGGTGAGTTCCTCCATCCAGACTCTGAGGGGGAGAGCGTGTGGCGTTCACTGACCCTGACGTTATCTTTGGCTTTCAGATCCTTAACACGGCCCGGAAACATTTTGGTGCTGGGGGGAACCAGAGGATCCGCTACACGCTGCCTCCTCTGGTGTTTGCTGCCTACCAGCTGGCCTTTCGGTACAAAGCCAACGCCTCGGCGGTGAGCGGCCATCTTCCCTTCGTCCCAGCCGCTGCTTCGCTCAGTGCTGCTTTACAAACACCAATGTTTCTGCTTTCAGGACGACAAGTGGGAGAAGAAATGCCAGAAGATCTTCTCCTTTGCCCACCAGACCATCAGCGCTCTCATCAAGGCCGAGCTCTCAGAGCTGCCTCTGCGGCTCTTCCTGCAGGGGGCGCTGGCCGCTGGTGAAATTGGCTTTGAGAACCATGAGACCGTGGCGTACGAGTTCATGTCGCAGGTAGCTAGCAGTGAGAACCAGCAGACCCAGCAGATGTGGGATCATCCTGGGACTGGTCTGGTAGGCGTTGACCCGGTCTGTCCTTCCTCTACAGGCCTTTTCTCTCTATGAGGATGAGATCAGTGACTCCAAAGCCCAGCTGGCAGCCATTACCCTGATCATCGGCACCTTTGAGCGGACCAAATGTTTCAGCGAGGAAAACCACGAGCCTCTGAGGACTCAGTGCGCTCTGGCTGCCTCAAAGCTGTTAAAGAAGCCGGATCAGTGCCGGGCCGTCAGCATATGCGCCCATCTGTTCTGGTCGGGTCGCAGCACCGACAAAAACGGCGAGGAGGTGTGTGTGCTCGTTCCACAGGTTCAGGATGGTTTATCTTCTAGAAACCCATCCTGAAATCTCTAAATCCAATATGGCTGCCAGGCGTGTGGATGTGTGGTTTCCCATTGAGCTGCTGTTGTTCTGATGTTGAGCCGTGTGCTGTAGATCCGGGATGGGAAGCGGGTGATGGAGTGTCTGAAGAAGGCCCTGAAGATCGCCAACCAGTGCATGGATTCCTCTCTGCAAGTCCAGCTGTTCATTGAGATCCTGAACCGATACATCTGCTTCTACGAGCGGGAGAACGATGCGGTAGGAACGCTTTCCTCCTCACTCTGTCCTGCATCCATGGCTGTGACCAAAGCAGCAGACTGGATGAAGAATTAAACCGGTCTGCTTCCATGGTCCAAACCATGATGATAATGATGATGAAGAACAGGCTGAAGCATTTTGAGACCTCTGATTCTTCTCATCACCTATAAATGATTCCTGCAGCAAACAGATGAAGGTCATTAACTTTTTCTGCAGTGAAGCAACATTTGATCGCAGGGCCCAAAAAATACTGAGGTCAAAGGTCAGTCCCTTGTAGGTGGGGTCAGCTCCCAGAAAATTTTTATAATCCCATAGTTGAAATCTGGACATTTTCAATTCAGTTTATTTCTATAGCTCCAATTCACATCCTGTCATCTCAGGTCACTTTCCAGTTCACCAGATCATCCAGTCAGATTGATTCAAAGTTTTCTATCTAAGGAAAACCAGCTGATTGCATCGACTTTCACCAGAGCTGTATCAGTGCTATGATGAGCTCTAAAGCCAGACTGAAACTCTTCAAAAAGTTCA